CCTGAGAGTAAAATCAATTTATTGAATAATATGTCAAATAATGTCCTTTGTCTCATTTTTAATTGTCGACAAAAATGGCATCAATGTAGATTACTACAGAACTACACAAATGTGTTGTTCACAAGCAAGTGTTCCTTTTTTTATTTTATTTTTTTTATTTTTTTACCAGTAAGATACAATTCATGTTTCAATATGCAGGTGAACTCTTTAATGTCAATCATCCACCCAATTCAAGTTTCGTCACATATATTTTTTATTCAATATATTCAGACTTTCATTGCATATACTGTATTAAAACTTCCATTCAGTATATTCAAATTTTCATTCATCATATTCAAGTTTCATTCCATATATTCAAACTTCCATTCAATATATTCAAACTTTCATTCAATATATTCAAACTTTTACTACTACATTACTACAGAATACTTATTTTGATTTCAAAGATGTATGTACAAAGAAGATGTAACACAATAAGTATTTTTTATTATTAACAAAAGTGTTAACTAATACATCCTGCTTCATATCCTTAATTTTTGCCTGTTCTTGTAGTCATCAAAAGCTTCTACTGGGCAGCCCAAGTCCAAAAAAAAAAACAAGAGGGTAATGGCAAAGTAGAGTATAACACTTCACAGGTAAGACTAGGTGAAGTTGAGGCAAATTTAAGGGTATGATAACATTACAGTACACACAGACTCCTACATTACTCATTTGTCACAATGACATGTAAATGTTGATTCCGTTTGTCCTTTTAGCCATCAAAAGGTTCAGTTGGACAGCCCAAGTCCAGAAAAGAAGAAAAGGACAGTGTCACTAAGGCCACAAGTCACATCCCAAATGATGACACTGTGCAGGTAAGTAGTCAAGTCAAGTCAAGTCTGCTTTATTGTCAATTCTTCCACATGTACAGCACATACACACAGAGAATTGAAATTGCGTTACTCTCAGACCCTTGGTGCATACAGATAACACTAACAGTAGAACATAATTGCTCTTTTGTTAGTTTTGATTGCTTCTATTGTCCTCATTTGTCTTTACAATAGGCTAATTTAATCAAAAGTTATAATTTTTGTAAATTTCATTATTAATGGTTAATGGCTTCATATGAACAATTTATCACTTTTGACCAATAGGTGGAACTGTTACCAAATCGATGTGATGTGTTCTGTGTGATGTGGCAATGGCAAATACAAAGTTTGGTGTCAGTATGTCAAAGCTTTGCAGAGATACAGCCTCAAGACGCAGTTTAGCATCATGCCTCAAATTTGTTGTGGCACTATACAAAAATGGTTTTGTCTATCAACACGAAATCCATAACTTTTTGTCAGTACAGTCTGAAGATAATCTGACTCAATTTTGGTGAAAATCAGACAAACGGTCTAGGGGTGTGCTCACACTTGTAGTTTGGTTAATTTGGTCCGGACCAAAAAGGAAAATGATACATTTACATTTAGTATACATCGTATGCATGTATATATGGTTTTACTTTTACCAGCTTAGAACTCACGAAGAGCTCATAAAATGTTCAAAACAGCACCAGGATTTCCTCCGTTGTACGCAGAAACGAATATCTGCTGCAAGGAGACGGCGTTTCCAATGTCTTTTCCGACAAATGGTCAACATAGGCCCTTTGATGAAGCGAACCAGGTATGCTTGAGCATTCTGTCGTTTGAAATGAAAGAATCACGATCAGAATTGCATTTGTTTAATTACTGTGTAATCTATATTTTCGTGATTCCCCAGTGTTTTCAGCTGTTCTTTGTAATAGGCTAATATTAGCTTATGAAAATTAACCAAGGTTTTTATTATAGTAAAACTGTAGTAACCTTTTTTGCGCATAGATTACCATTTGTACAGTTATACTACAAATACCATGGTTAAACTATGGTTAGTGTAGCAAAACCATGGTGAATTGTTAAACTACAATAATTATGGTTCTTTGGTTTATTTGTAGTAAACCATGGTAAATTTTCGTAAGGCAAGTTTAAAAATTACCCTAGTTATATGGGAAAAAAAAACTAAGTTTGGTGATGAAAGATGCTGTGTAGTATTAACTGTGCTATGCTGCTTTGGTCTGTGTAAATGCCATTATTCTAATTTAAGTTTTCAGGCAAAATAAATGCAGGTTAGAAAGTAAATGTTCTGCTTTAAAGTGAATTAATGGATATGTAAAGAAATGTCATCCATCACCAAAATTTCAGGGTTTTTTATGTACAGATTTGTTGGTTGTATGCTGCTTTAAAACATTCACTTTATTAAAACAAACATTTTATACAATCTTTTTTTTTTTCATTCACAAATTATTGTTTGGGTGTTGCCACGATCCAGTGTTTGGTGGCAAAACATTGTAAATAACTGGATAGATTAACAGTGGTTGAAGAATTTTAGAATGAGAAGAGCAACGTTCATGCATCTCTGCGGCTTTCTCCGGCCATCCCTCACACATCGCAATTCAAGGTAAATCTTGCATGATAACCCAGACACAAGTGTGTTGTGGGTTGAAATAATATTTGTTACTGTACTATAAATATCTGTTTCAAGTTTCGTAAATCACTACCAGTGGAGCTGAGAGTTGCCATTTGTCTCTGGAGGCTTGCAACCAATTTGGAATTCCATTCAATTGGTCATCTTTTTGGCGCTGGAAGATCAACTGCCTGTGTAATCACCTAGGAGGTTGTTGCAGCAATCAACAGGATCATGAGACCCCTGTACATAAAAACACCCTTTTCTGCAGAATTGAAAAAAATTGTACAAGGTTTCAGAGACGAATGGAGATTTCCACAGGTTGCAGGTGCAATAGATGGAACACACATATGCATAACATTGGCATCGTGAACTCTGCCATGCCAGGCAGAGTTATTGTTAACTCCTCTCTCTACTGGAGAGGCCAGGATGGAACTCTCTTTCCTGCGTGGACTGCAAAGTTTGACAATGTGGATGTACCACTGTTTATACTAGGGGATTCTGCTTACCCACTGCTCTCCTGGCTTCTGAAACCATATTCTGCAAACACAAGTTTGACAGAGCAACAATCCAACTTTAACCACAGGCTTAGCCAAACTTGCATGACTGTTGAGAGGGCCTTTGGACGTTTGAAGGCAAGATGGAGATGCCTCTTGAAAAGGTGTGATGCTCATATAACCCTCATCAGTCCCATAATATCTGCATGGTGCGTATTGCACAACTTTTGTGAAATTCACCATGAGGATGTAATGGAACTTGAAGAACATGACAGTGCCTGCCAAGAAGAGACCGAAGACCAACTTTACAGAGACGGTCAGGGTGGCCATGATATCAGAGACGCACTTTGTACATATATGTCAAGACTGTAGATTTACAGCCAAGGTTTAAAAAAAAAATAAAATACAACGAAAGAGTCATACAAATTTGTTTCAAACATTGCTTTTAATCTGCCTTTGTTCAGAAGTACTGCTTTTTGCAATTTGTTTCAATCCTCTTTGTAAACTTTAAGCAGTTAACACTTTATTCAGTACTTTCAAAGATGTATTAAGGTAACTAACTAGATTGCACATTTGAACAGTGCCTGAGATTATGTTCTATGTTTGTTAACTGTGCAAATGCAACAAATGCAAACTCTTCCATACAGTGAAACATACTATATATTCAGACAATTTGAATGAGTATCTTAAATAAAGAGAAAAAAAGAAAAACTGACAAATTAGAATTTGTACGTTCTTCAAACTAACTTAAAACTGCTCTTTTTAACAAATTCCCTGAAAGTCACAGAAACATTCTAACAGGTGACCATACAAACTGAACTAAAACCAGAAAAGAGTAGTTTATGAACTTAGCCTCATTTCATTAGAAGGCCCTAAAGATTGAAGTAGTGTTGGGCAGAGTTGGCCTCATGTAGCAAATATGACAGTGCATTAGTGTCAGATCTAGGCTGTTTTGCATCAGTTTGGACTGCAAATGAACCTGTTATGTTGTACTGAGGAACTGAGACTGTAGGGGTACACGTCACTGGGCCTCCTGGAGGTGAGTTGAGATAGAACGGCGTTGGCCCTTTTGTTTTATCCTGGCATACTGCATTAATCAATGTACCCATTAACTGAAAAAACATTGTTGGTAGCCTGCTGTTGAGCTTGTAAAGCTTGAAATCTACGTTCTTCTGCTTCCTGGTTTGCTTTCAGACATTTTTCAAAAACTTTGATTTCCTGTTGTTGCAGATTGTGTTCAGATTCTTGATACTCCTTCAGCAGTTCCCTCTGATGGTCAAGACTGTCACTCTTCACTTTCCTCTTAAGCGCACAGACCTTGGGGATGGCCTGTTCTTGTATGCTTTCTGCACTCGTGCTTTGGTCATCTGCCATCTGGTCACCTACACTGTCCTCAGGAGATCCTGCCTCCCCTTACAAGATAAATTACAATAAATTATTTAACATAAAAAACACTTGGTTGATCTGAGGGAATTTTATCTTGCATGGAAATTTGATATACTTTTGGACACAAGGTAAACACATCAGTAACAACACATTATTTATGTTCTGGGGAAGTGTAACGTTACTCCCCTTACGAAAATTAACCACGGTTTTACGACAAATAAAACCAAAAAACAAGGTTATTGTAGTTAAACCATGGTAACCATAAATTTACCATGGTTTTGCTACACTAACCATAGTTTAACCATATATGTAGTAAAACTGTGTTTATACAAAAGGTAATCGATGCGCCAATAAAACATGGGGTAACAGTTTATTTCGATAGTCCACTTTAGACATTCTGTTAACAGTAAGTAACTTTGCAACTACATGTCAACTAGCAGTTAGTAGAGTATTAGTAGACTGTCTGCTTAATATCTTCTAACACTTTCTTTGTCAACTTATTCTACTAACCCTAAACCTACCCTAACAGTCTACTCTGAGAGTTAGTAGACATGTAGTTGCAAATTAATGAGAATTAGTTGACATGTAGTTACACAGTTACTTATAGTTAGTAGAATGTCTAAAGTGGACTATCGAAATAAAGTGTAACCGGGATGTTTGCTCAATTTGATGCTCACGTATTTTGATCTTCTTTTAACTTTAAAGCAAACAATGAAAAAGAACTTCACACGGGACACTCAGGTTAAACTCAAGGTTTGCTTTGTTTTTGCAAGTCTTTCCACAGTGATGGCACACGAAAGGCTTCTCTCTGAAGTTATTTCATGATTTCTAAGATGCTTCCTATCTGTGAAACTCGTCCCACACTGATGACATAAAACAGTTCTCTCATATGTGAATTCTAATGTGGTACTTAAGGGCTACTTTAGATCTGAAACTCAGTGACCACATTTAAACGACTTCTCTCCGATATGAGTTCGCCTGTGTCTGTTAAGGATTCCTTTTCGGTTGAAACTTTTTCCACATTGTTGGCAGGTGAAAGGCTTCTCCCCTGTGTGAATTTTTATGTGGTCTTCAAAGCGTCCTTTTCGATTGAAACTCTTTCCACACTGAAGGCATATGTAGAGTTTCTCTCCGGTGTGAATTCTCACGTGGCCTTCAAAGTGTCCTTTTTGATTGAAACTCTTTCCACAGTGAGGGCATGTGTAGGGTTTCTCTCCAGAGTGAATTCTCACGTGGATTTTGAGGTTTCCATGTTGATAAAATCCCTTTCCGCAGTGAGGGCATGTGTAAGGCTTTTCTTTGTTGTGAATTCTCATGTGCCTATTAAGTCCTCCTTTTAGAGCGAAACTTATTCCACACAGTTTGCAGGTGAAAGCCTTCTCTCCAGTGTGAATTTTCATGTGGTAATTAAGGTTTCCTTTGCGGTTGAAACTTTTTCCACACTGTTGGCAGATGTAAGGTTTCTCTCCAGTGTGAAGTCTCATGTGGACTTCAAGGTTTCCATGTTGACTAAAACTCTTTCCACACTGACGGCATGTGTGAGGCCTCTCTCCATTGTGAATTCTCATGTGCCTGTTAAGGCTTCCTTTTTGAGTGAATCCATTTCCACACTGTTGGCAGATGAATGGGCTCTGTCCAGTGTGAATTCTTATGTGGTCTTCAAAGTGTCCTTTTTTATTAAATCCCTTTCCACAATGAGGGCATGTGTAGGGTTTCTGTCCAGAGTGTGATCTCATGTGGATTTTAAGGTTTGCATGTCGATCAAAACTCTTTCCACACTGACGGCATGTGTAAGGCTTTTCTCTGGTGTGAATTCTCATGTGCCTGTTAAGGCTTCTTTTTTGAGTGAATCCGTTTCCACACTGTTGGCAGATGAATGGGCTCTCTCCAGTATGAATTCTTATGTGGACTTTAAGGTTCCCATCTTGATCACAAATTGTTCCACACTGAGGATGTGTGTGAGGCTTTCCTCCTGTATGAATTCTCATATGGACTTGTAACTTTTTGTGTTGATTGAAACTCTTTCCACACTGAAAGCAGGTTAAGTAACTTGTAGTCCCTGTCTTTAGAGCCCTTTTTCGTGAGGTATTTTCAGTTTGTGAGCAACTGTAAGATTTGTCTCCAGGTATGAAATCATGATGATCTTTCTCTTCAGTTTCATTCAGTGCTTCACTCTCCTCTTTTAGCGCCATCAGGTCTAAGGTGAAAAAAGACAAATAAAACTTAATTTTAATGGCACAAAGCAATAGACATCAAAACATTTAGGTATGTAAATCAAACAGATCCTATACCCACTAAGCTACTGAAAGAGGTGATACATGTAATCTTTTAACCCCTCAAAATGGCTAACTCTTCGTTTTCTTTAGGCTGTTAAACCTATAATTAAAAAAAAAACCAAGTATAACTGAGGAGATCTGATTTTTATACTGATCTCAGTCTCCCAGTTACTACATCTTCTAGGGGTTAAGACACAAAATAATAATAATAATTACAATAATAATAATAAAGTAAAATAAAGAAACAAAAGGGAAAAGACATGTCCCTGCTCAACTCAGACCAATAACACAGTAATTCCATGTAATGATTTATTAAAAAACAAAAAACTAAATTGAAATATTTTGGTGTCTTCTGAACCATGTTCAGTTTTGCAGAGAAACAGTGAAGAATCTCAGTCAGGATTTAAAATCTATCTTTGCAAAGAAATTGGTTATTAAAATTAAAGTTACAAATGACCAGCTTTTGCCATGTGATTGTGGCTACATCTTTCTTCTAATACTATTAGATCAATGGTGTAGTCAGGTCAATATGTATACGCCATAAGCTTATGCTGTTTGCAACTAAGGATTAATATTTGCAAATTATCTAACCTCTGTAGGCTATATACTTTCTTGTTTCTTGCTTAAAAATTCCATAACCTCATGACGTGTTAGCTTCTCCTTTAAATGTATGCCCTGTTGCTTTGTGAAACTCATATATCCAGGGACTGCAGATGAAAATTATATTCATAAATCTCGCACATTTTCATGACGGACCAGGATAGCAAGGAACCTGGAGGTGCTGTTCGATGACCAACTGATCTTTTTTAACAACAGCCAGATTATGTAGGTTTGTGCTTTTCAACATCAGGAAAATCAGACCCTTCCTGCCAGAATACCTCGTACAGTTCATCGTCCAAGCTCTTGTCATTTTAAGACTGAACTACTGCAATGCGCCAAAAATCCAAAATTAGGAAAGTTTTGAAATTGTTACAGCCCTATATTTAATGCATTAAATTGTATATTTATCGGGCCAACCATACCCAAGAAAAGTAAACTATATACAATTATGCAGCTTAGTTTTTGCAATTCAACATTTATGAATTTCAACATTTTTTTTACTGTACTCTAGCAACATTACCAAACCTGTAATGCAGTTAGAAGTATATGACATTCTTTGACTGTAAAAAATAAAAAATATAAAAAATTGGCAAAAAATTGTTGTAATTTCAAACTGTACAACAGTGAAAGTGATGTGATGTGTAGCCAAGTATAGTAACCCATACTCAGAATTAGATGCTCTACATTTAACCCATCCGAGTGCACACACAGAGAAGTGAGTAGTGAACACAAACACCCAAAGCTTTGCACTTGACGAACTTTGGGTTACAAGTATGACTCTCTAACCATTAGGCCATAACTGCCATGTGCCCGAATGTACATGTATAAAGTCACAGCAGTGAATAGTGAACGCACACACACACACACACCCA